GCATTGCTGAGGCAGGATGAAACTTTGATTCTGAGCTGTTCTGCTTCCCTCTTTCATTTTGTTGTAACGGATGCTGATTCTAACCAATTTTAAGTTTTTGCTGATCTTTTGGTCTCTCATCACGTTCGTAATTTTATGAGTGACTAAAAATGGAAAACTATCACAAAGTACATCGGACTTAACTCTATTAATATCAAGGAATATGTTGGAAAAAAGCTGTATTTAATGGAAGCCCATTTCTGCCATGAAAGAAAAAATAAAAGCTCAACAGGAAGTCGTAATTTAGACTTTAAAAGTCATAATTATGAGAATAAAAGTCATAATTTCGACTTTTAAAGTCATTATATTGAGAATAAAAGTCATAATTGTGAGTTTTAAAGTCATAATTACGAGAATAAAAGTCATAATTATGAGTTTTAAAGTCATAATTACGAGAATAAGTCATAATTTCGAATTTTTAAATTCCTAATTATGAGAATAAAACTCATAATTATGAGTTTAAAGTCATAATTCTGAGAATAAAAGCCATAATTATGAGTTTTAAAGTCATAATTATGACTTATTTTCATAATTATGACTTTAAAACTCAAAATTAAGACTTCCTGTTGGGCTTTCATTTTTTCTTTCATGACGGAAATGGGCTTCCATTGCGTATTTACAACAGAGTTGTTTTTGTTTTTTTTACACAAGATAAAGGCCATAACTTTCTTTTGATACTGTTTATAAACTAAAACAGTTTTGTTTCGTTTTATCATTTCATAAAAAAAGGAAGAAGTGGTAATGGATGGATGGATGGTTTGTCATTCCTCTGTCAACAGCTGTAAAGATATTGTACTTCACATCATTTCAGAGACTTGTTATGCTTTCTTTTTCTGTTTTCAGGCATTCAGTCAGGATTTGTCACTCTGCCTCGCCTCTCTCGACTTGAGAGACAATTTCACGATGATGACTCCTGCAAACTGTCTTCACTTGACAATAATAGCAACACTCGGACACGCTCAGACTCCCTCACTTCGTTCACGGTTGACCTCGGACCTTCTCTCATGACTGAGGTGTTCAGTTTGATCGACAACCCCAGCTCACTTTTAATATCCAATCACAGCCAGGCTGCAAGTGAGGAGGAGAAAGAAGAAGAAAATGACGACAACTCTCTGACAGAGACGCCTGTGCAGACTCCTACAGTGAGTTCACCCAACTCTTCCCTGTTCAGTGAGTCTTTCAGTTCCGACATGAACGGAAGAGGGAGCTCTGACAGGACAGAGCAGGAGAAGGACGGGAGGGCTCCAAGGATATCTGAGGTGTCCTCTGGGTCTCCTCACAGAGATGAAGCTGTGATGGAGGCAGCAAGGTTCCAGAGGGCAGCTGATGTTCTGGCTCGTCATTATGGTGGAGGATCCTTCACAAGGGGAACAAGGACGGGCAGCGACAAGATATCTCCGGGTTTTTACAAAAGCCACAAAACATCCTACGCTGTTTCAGAGGAGGAGGAGGAGATCAAAGTGTAGACAATAAACCTCAAAAACTGTTCAATAATCTGGGTTTATTTCAAGTCAGGAAAGGCTAACTTTGGTCCTGGTCTTTGGTCCTGATGTTTCTTCATACAAACATTAATCCAGTATGTAACACAAATCAACTACACACCATATTATATAGGTAAATTTAGTGTTCATCCTGAATATCAACATATGCCTTCTTTCTAACATTGTGGCTGTGATATTTCATAGATCTTTGTTTAACACTTTTCAAATGTATCATCTAACACTATGTAACTACGATGTTCAGTAAGAACTCTGTGATTTACATAAATAAAGATGTTTAAATTGAAATGTATGAAAAGTCTAAACGAGTTCAGTTCAGTTTATTTATAAAGCACCAAGTCACAACAGAAGACATCTCAGGGCACTGAACAGAAACATTCATATATAAAAATAATAAGTTAAAACTATTTATCTGAGGAGCAGACTGCTTTGAATTTAACTCCATCACAGAACTCTCATCTTGAGCAAGCACGAAGGCGACAGTGGAAAGAAAAATCTCCCTCATGAGGAAGAAACTTTCAGCAGAACCAGGTTCAGGACAATCTGGTTCGACCGGCTGGGTTTGAGAGAAACAAGAAGGAGGAACAATGGCAGGTCGAGAATCACGTTAAGATATAAATACAGAACAAAAGCATGCATGTTAGGCTGCCTACAGGCCCAGGCCTCCCTTGCACAATCTGTGATCTCAATGGGATTTGCCTGGTTAAATAAAGGTTAATAAAATAAATAAAATAAAATAGTATCAAATGAAAATTATTCAATTTTAACAATTCATTTAAGGAAATTAGGTCAATTTGTCCTCCAGTAGTCTAAGCCTATAGCAGCATAACAAGCCAACCCTAACTAACTACAACTCTTAACTATAGGATTTATCAAAAAGGAAAGTCTTAAGTCCAGTCTTAAATCTGGACAATGTGTCAGCCTCATGGACAGAAACTGGAAGTTGGACAGAAACTGGAAGTTGGTTCCACAAGAGAGGAGCCTGATAACTGAAAGATCTTCCTCCCATTTTGCTTTTAGAAACTCTAGGAACCTCTAGAACCACAAGTAAGCCTGCAGTCTGACAGCAAAGTGCTCTATTAGGAAAATATGGAACAATAAGATCTGTAATACAAAATGGAGCTAGGTTGTTGAGAGCTTTGTAGGTTAGAAGTAAGATTATGAATTCAATTTTGGACTTGACAGGGAGCCAGTGGAGAGAAGTTAAAACTGGAGAGATATGATCTCTCCCACTAACTCCAGTTAAGACTCTGGCAGCAGCATTTTGGATCAACTGAAGACGTTTTAAAGAAGCATTTGGACACCCAGATAATAAACCATTGCAATAGTCCAGACTAGACGTGACAAATGGCATGAACCAGTTTTTCTGCATCACTTCTAGGTAAGATGTTTCTAATGTTAGTGATATGACGCAGGTGGAAGAAGGCGGTTCCGGTAACATTTTTAATGTGGGGGATAAAAGACTTGAAGAGTTAGATTGTACAGCAAGCTGCAACAATAATCAACCCCTGGAATATTTCTGTTTGTTCTCTTGCACATTTTTACTTGATTTTAAATTAAGTTTCATGTGGAAAAATCTTGTAGTAGTTCATACGTATGAAGTCATGTACCTTCGAAT